TTTCAATATGAAACACATTATTGTCATATGATACAGCAAAAAACATAAGTTGTTTACTTGGGATAGGTCTTGGAAAACATGAATATTTGTCATGAAACCCACAGTGTCCTTGAGAACTTCTTGGTAAGGCCTTTGTGAAAACAAAATCACCTGGGCTCAGCCTGCATCCTTCTGTGGGGGAAACAAAGCCTGTGCCCTTCCCCACTACAATACCTTGGTGGCACACACAGCCCTGATCTTGCTCATTTTTCACTCATCGCATTACAGATCTTTTGTCGTTATCAAAACATATCCAGTCTCCCAAATATTTGTGTCCAGATACCGGGCTTTGAAATGAGAGGATTTTTAAGAGCAGAGACCACAACTTTTATAGGGCTTCGGTGAACTAGAAAACTTTACTTCATTGGTATGCAGGTGAGAGAAAGGCACACAATAAAGATGGCAGAAGACGTGACAAAAAAGAAGGTACAAACAAGCGTCTTCTTTTGCCTCAACACGGGTACATTATTACCAATAGTGAACTTCACAGCTGGCAACTTGCCATGCAGTTCAGATTTTTTTCCTCTAAAGACTACCAAAAGCACCATCCATGAATCCATCTTGAACTGATTTTCTATGCAGCGGGAGCAAATATGGATCAAAGCATCTCTTCCGTATGGATTAAGTACATGCCAACACATCAACATGTCTACTTATATAAAAGCAGCACTATCGTAACCACTCCTTCAACTACCATACTACATAATGAATTTTTTTTCCTTTTTGCCTTAACAAGCCACTAATTTCCTGTAATAGACAGAAAGACATCCTTCATACACAAGCAAGCTTTTATTCTGTATAGTTTTGGCCATCTCGGGTGTCAGGCTCATCCACCCCAGGTAGGGACTGGCAAGTACTATATACCTGGTACCTTGTAAGATAATGCCCCTAAATCAGAAACTCCACAGCTACTAATCCTAAAGCCCAACAATGGAGGCTCAGGGACCACCTGCCAATCATAGTCCCCCGAGTACTCGCCTCCTGCGGCATGCCGTCCAATTTTACCATCTCAACAGTACACCAATAGGAGAAATTGACTACGAAGAGGTTTATTAGGCCCTTCATTGGAACAGTCTCCCACAGTTAGGAAGTTAAGCAGGTTTGCTTATGGCAGGTACCGAAGGTTAGGGCAATTATCATGTCAAATATCATACTTTCTTCCAATCTTCCAATGTCCACAGTAAATACACACAATGTCTGGATTTGAAAATTAATCTTTTCATTTTGGTGTGGAAAATAATTCACTTTTTAATCCTAAGGTCTGAAGCAGACCCAGGCAGCCAAATGATTGCTTCTCATTGTGTCATCTTTACTTGGTACACATTTATCTGGTGGAGACTAATACATGTCAACATTCACATCTTGTACGTAAACTAGGACATTTGTGGCCTCACACGTAACTGGAGTAGGGACAAACAGACAGGCCATGGTTACCAGAGAAAGTCTCAAAAACTTTCAACAAGGGGAGGTTGTTTGCACCAATTTCACCACACTCGGCTGTAATAAATCACTTGATTCATAATGCGCAAGTGCCAAATTTCATGTATTTATAACAACAGAAATCCATATTTAAATATGGGATGAGGTTTTGTGAAGGACGTAAGGCCTGAATTTAAAAGAATTTCTCAACAATAGAGCTGAAAACACTGCACACTTTTGCCACGGGGAGAAGTGCATCTCTTTAGAATTTCAAATTTATGCCAATTTCACTCACAGGTAGCCCATAAATTTTCAAAATGAGTTTTATTTTCTCTTTCCTCTACTTGGAAAAAAAAGGGATGGCAAAAAAAATGAGCACTGGTCCACAAATTTATAGGCACGTATTGGGAGGTAAAGTCTGATAACATCTTGTAGAGGCATAAGTTGTGTTCCTCAACAACAAATGTGTAATTATCTTGATAGATGGCTGGTCAGTTCCTTGTACAGTTCACTTTAAGAATAGTACAGGATAACATGTCAGCGTTTTCCCCCCATGTAACCATCATAAAAAAGCAATTTCAGTAACCCATGCACATGTCTGCCTCAATCATCTAACCCCAAAAATACGACCCAAAACATAAATGTGGTGGTAATAAACCTCAGTACATGTCAGGGCTTCACTTAGTATTGTTTTAAAGACACAAAGAGCAGTAACTATAAGATCCAGGACATGGAGATGTTTTTTATCGTTGGTTTATATCTCTCTGTATGCCATCAGTGACAAGATATCTTTAGATGCGCTCTGTTGGCTAGCCATAAAATCTTAAGTTTTTACTATGCAGGTACTTGCTTTCTACTGGTACTGTTAATGATCCCCACAGGCAAACCTGGACCCTGCAAGAGACTTCCCTATGCAGGTGTATTTAATTTAGACTAATAACTAATGCAGTGTTAGGGAAAATGTCTTGAATATGTGCAAGTCCAATAAACTGTGGCATGTTTGTATGGGGAATCCTTCATGTGTGATATGTTTTGAATATTTTTAAATAAAACAACTGAAACCATTTGTAAAAACATAAAAGGAGGAGTTTTTTTTTCATGCTCATATTTTCACTAGTGGAAAGTTTTAAAATTAAGTCATATATCAAAAGACAAAAGAAAAAAACTTACTTTCTATCTCAAACAATGATACTGTGGATCTGGGATTGAAATTCATCTGCCAGGCTCCCACTAGAGCTGTTAAATGCAGTAATCCGGTGAAAGTATAAAAGGTGACCATGTTGACACATTGCCTGCAGTCCAACATGTTAGCCCAAATCTTCATATGGTTCACCTTGATCTAATAGTCGTTGTGGAGGTAGAGTTGATGTCGTGTATCCTTTCTAACAGTCAAGTTCACAATGGTGTCTGCTTTCTGGAAAAGAAAATCAATACTACTGAAAGGGCAAGACCGACTGTGGAATACTGAAGTCTTCAATAGAAACACTTTATCCATATGTCACCCAATGTACATCTACACTCATATGAACAGACGAGGCAGAAGTTCTAGATATTTTTTTCAAGGTGTAATTTATGCTGGTTCTTGGGACTTAGAAGATCTTTCTAACTAAGATAGCACCATCTAATTTACTGCTACGTGTAAACTGGATCTTGTTAGTTTTGGAGTCTGTTATATTCAATAGTCTGCTTCACCATATCCAATTCAGTCTAGTTCAATTTGAATTTCTATTCGATATGAATTACTATAATTTTCCTTGTTCATTGTTTTAATCAAAGGAAATTTTGCTATGTCTATGTTTTATTTAGCAAAGCCTTTTTGTACATTTCCCTTCAGATATAATTAGAAACTTGTAACAATAATTCCATTTTTTCTTAACAATATATAATTTTTTAAAGAAACACAGTGGTATGTGTACAACTCCATGTTAGTCATATGGAAATTGTTTATTTCCTATCTGCAAGAAAGAACACTGTGCTCATTGAGAAATTTAACATTTAAAGATTTCCATCATTTCCTTTCAACCACTTGAACTTTATAATAGTTTCTCTCTCCAATTTCCCTTTGCCTTACCTAACACAGATATCCAAGCACTTAGTTATAGGTAATTCAAATCAAAAGAAAAAGAATGGTACAGTCAGTCTATTTCAGTTTTAAATTCATGATAATCAGAGAACACTATCTGCAGTTTCTCTTTTAAAAAGTTATCCCATTTCTAAGTTGGTATTAATTTCCTGCAACTCTTTTCGACCTTAAGTAACTGAAGTACAAACATACAAACCAAATGAGAATCAATTACTCCTTTTTGTCACAAAATCATCCTCCTTATAACAAGAAAAAAATGATAATCAATATCTCAATGATCTGTATATTGACACAACTCTCCTATCATAATTACCAGCAAGTCCATACCAACAGAATCGAATAATTCTATTAAACCAACCTCCCGCATGATACACCTTCGTATAAATATTCTAACCAGAGGAGCCAATTATGTATTCACAGTAAATGATAACCAAATGAAAGAAACCAATACCTTAATGTGTCCAATAATTGAAAATCCATTAATCCATGTTGTTATAAGTAGATAAATATGAAGTATGTAAATCCAATAAGTAAGAGGTAAAGTCTACTCGATGGCAGTCAGTGTACTAGTGAATCATTTACTCCACTCCGTCACATCCTCCTTGTTCAGTGTAGGAGGTAAGGCTTTAAGATACTAATAGAGAGAGCTCTACATACGTTTACACACACCTACTTATTTCTTATAGGCTGCTGGAGGTCACATGACCACAGGTGTAGTGAAGGTTTACAATTAAGGGGTCACATGGGCACAGGGGAGCGGGAATACATATTCAGATGCAAATGATTAGAATAATGCTACTTTTCCTGCCTGGCTGCTTGTGCTTAATGTGCCTAAATCCAAAACAGCAACAGGTTTTAGTGGCAGGGACAAAGGGTATTTGTGTCCCCGTATTGGAGCTTTGCTCACAATTGGAGAAAGGCTCATGAAAAAAACAAGGCAAAAAGGGGGTCTAATGGCATAATCTGTCAGCATAGTGGTTAAAAAAGAGCAGTAATGCATAAAATGGGGTTGATCACCCTGCAGAAATCTTTCAGAATACGGACTGAAAAGAAACCTATTAAACTGTCTCCAAAAGTTAATTGCAGAAGTTTTATCAATGCATCAATCTTCCCCAAGGTTGTAATCAGAGAGGCGAGGTGTATACCTCCTCACTAGCTGCAAGTGAAATGTGACACGAGCAGAGGTGCCCCTCGACAGATCTGGGCTCTATGCAAATTATCTCAAGGGTCACCAGCAAACACCTAAGACGTGTGCCTTTCTTGTCTAAACAAACTGGCTGTTGTCCTAGCCAGACCAAGCTAACCAGGTACCCACCTTAGAAACAATACCCAAACCTTGTTAACAAAACCTAAAGGCTCTGATATAATCATTACGTGCAAGAGGTGCTAACAAAGGAGAGGTCTGACCCTTTGCAATGGCTGCCCAAACAGCAGTGGACTGAATCACCAGTCAGCATCAATCACGGTAAACAATTTTGGATGACCTTTCATTTGTCACCCAGCCCCAGCTCTGTCACTGAGCAACAAAAGCACAGCTGGACCTACGCCAACAAACTAAAACTGTTCTTACCCACTGTGCAACAACATATTTTCATGGCAAAACCAACATCGCTATCAATAACTGCACTGCCAGACATGTAACAACCACAGTTCAAACACTGACAAGCAGATCTGTGTTTGTAACTGTCAGGTTATGAAATCAGCAAGTGCACATTTTCCCTTGACCACTGGTCATCCAGCGGTCATTATGTCTTGCATATATGATCTACTGGTTTCTTGCATGATCTGCCACGCAAGCTCATACATCAAGTGAGTCAGATCTGCTGGAAAGATTCATTAACCTAACCAGTAGGCATCATCTATCAATGTAACACTAAGCAGTCATATGCATAGCCAGAGATAAATGTCTGCACCCAGCAAAAACAAAAAAGAACTAATAGTGCAAGGAAGAGATAGAATCAATGAACCTTTGAAGCAAAATATAATAAAAAAACTCTTGCCACCACCACCAAAGAGCTACCTGTATCCTTGAGGTGACAAAGAAGACAAAGGTTTTTTCTTAAAATAAATCACCAAAATATAAACATAAAGAGAATGAAAGAAAAAGCAAAACAAAAAATCCTGGCAAGTATCTGTATCACCCTAATCAATCTTATCAATTCTAGTTATTCCATAGTATAAGAAAATAAAAACAATGATACTGTATAATAATAAAACAGAGCACTGAAACTCCAATTTTTCTAGCAACTACTAATATTCAGTATGTTTCACTTACCTCCTCTATACACCAGGAATGCAAACTTTATAACGTGCCTCAATTTTAAAACACAACTTTTCCTTTCCTCTTACCAACACCTTTATGCCAACAACTTACCTGATGCAGCATATATATATATTACTGATAATCCCCTGAATCCAGTCAGTTAAAGTGTACTGGATTCATGAGGTTCATCATGCAGCACTAGTGAATCTAATCAGGCCAGTGCAGGGCTTCTTTCCCTCTGCTGACTTTAGTATAAAAGGTCAGAAGTGATAGTAGTCTCTAATCTACTGCATGGCTTCATGTAATCAATTTGTCTAGGTAGCAACCTCAACATGTCTCTTGTCTATCACAAGATTGGAAGTCAAAGATAATTTAGAGTCAGACCTAGTGCAGATTTTTTTCTTCAAAGTTTGTTTATTGAAAATAATATTGCATTGATAAAAATATATGTAGATTGCTTACATTATATATCAAGAGTTTACAGCCCTTACTCGTCCTTCCATTTAGAAAGCTGTAATTATCTTTTTATTACTTTTACAGTGTTTTCAACAGGTGAATACGGTGCTAAATTGTGCTAAATACCTAATTAACCAGATCATGTTACTGACCAGTATTCAGGTATCTCACCAACTACATATTACTGTCTTCTACATTTATAAATACTGTAGCAAAACTTGTGAAAAAAAAAAAAAAAGAAAAAATTTTGTCAGAAACAATAACCCCAGGTTTCCAGATTGTGCACTTCAGTCATGTCAAAAGGAAATAGACTGCAATACAATTATATAAATGATGCATAATGGCTTCCCGACCCCTGTGTAATTAGAAATGAGGTACAAGTCTTCCCAGTCCTGCACTTTTCCCTGGGACAATACCTCTTGAGACAGAAGCCTTTGATCTCCCTGTTAGAACTGTGAACCTTCAACAGTAACTAATGCATTATCACACCTGAAGAACAATTCTAAACTGTAGATCAAAGCAACAGGCAATTCATTTGCTTAATCACAGTTGTATCAGTGGAGTTAAGGTTATCTCACAGACATCATGCCATCTCTCCAGACACAAGGCAAGGGGAACAGAGCACATATTTCCTACATTTAGATAACATCAATTTCATGGAGTTTGCTATATTGTTCCACTGTGTGCTGTAGGACAGTGAGTGTGCATATTTAGACAAGTTTGAAAATTGGTAGAATGTCTTACCAAACTTTGACGAAGAATCGAGAAAGTAAATTTTATTTTCTTACAGGTGCTGTAATCTGAGCTTGGGAATAAATAATTTGCTCTCACAGCAAAAGTGACATTGCTAGCAAAGAGCAAGCAACTTTGTTCTCAGCGTAACTTTTCCCAGGGTGCAAAGGACTCCTAATGTCACAGGCAGGGGGTGATACAGTCATTCATTTTTCAAACAGCGTTTCCCATTCTACATAGTAATTAAATCACTGAGTTTCTCTGGATTTACAACATATTAGCTACAAGGGATTGGTAGCTCCTATACTCACAGAGAGAGAGAGACTTCAGAAATGTAACATATTTCCTTCTTGATGTGTAATTACTTCACTCCTGGCAGCCTGTACATCCTGGGTCAGATGCAATCTTACACTTATCTCCAGCCCTATCTTGCTGCAAGACAAGTGCCCAGAGGATGCTCTCAATATTCACATTCATCAACCTCAAATACTGAATCATATCATTATATCAGAACATCCTTCATACCAAGATGTAAGAATACATAATTCAACATATTCTGAAGTATTGGTTTGACTTTCAATATCTCATGTTTGTTAATGCTCTTCACCAAGTGCAACTTAAAAATGACAAGTTTACGTTATACATTGTGACAATTGAATGAGTGACCTTTTGCCTTCGATAAAATAACCAAGTGTTACACAAGAAAGCAAACAGATTTCATTACATTTAATTTGAAAATACTCCTTAAAGAAATGGGTTTAACATTTCAAGATTATATCAGTTTGGAAATAATGGCTATAAATATATATCCTACATGTTGTAAACATTATGTTAAAAAACCAATTATATTTTGTTTTCAAAAAGGAAAACATATCTTAAATAATGCTGCCTTAAAATAGAAAGATCAGTTTGTATTTTTTACATTATTTCCACAAAACGTAAAATGAAAATTACGTGCACACCAACAGCTTTCTGACATCAGCATTTGGTTACACATGCTGCTCAGGTTGACATTATGTTGCACATTAAACGGAACTCCTTGCGCATAATGTCTACCCTGGGTTGGTAAAATGGAACATTTAAACCAATAATCAGAAAACTCCTTTCTCTGTTGGCAAACTTCCAGTAACAACATGTGAGTTTAAGTACCCCTCTGTCACTTTTATGTTTGTAACTTGTCCGAATGATTACACTTAATATTCATGTTGCACATTAAACAGTAGTTAAAATGCAACAAAAAACCCAGCTTAAGTATCACTAAGATGAAAACTGTGGCAACCTAGTGAAGCCATAGAGAAGCCAGGAATAATAATTAATTTTTCAACCTGTGCTGTGATCTCAATGGTGTCCCTTCTCCTGTGCAGAGGTCAGGATGCCTCCATCAACTGCTGCTTCTTTTATATATCTTGTTCATTTGCTTATTTTTACAAGGTAGACATACTGCAAACTCATCTGTTTGGCACTCTTGTGGTTTACACAGTGCAATGCATGCTCACATACCACCTCTCCCATCACCAAATACCAACTCAGTACCCGTGTTCTGGTAAATGCTGCCTACCTCCATTGAAACCAAAGCTAAAGTTAGTTGGACAAAAAGGTCAATATTTCTGTTCCTTTTTATTAACTCACCTCTTCTAGAATATCAGCATCCCTCATTCATGCAAGTTTTAAATCTCTTCTGGTCTATTGCCACAGAAATTTTGTCAAAAACTGTACAACTTCTGTCAGTTACAGTGTTCCACTTGGCATCTCTTTAACCTGTACACTGAGCCTGGGTGATTTAAATGGCCTCATTACAAACACTTCCCACAATGCACCCTGGCAGCTCTTTAAATTTGAATGGAGTCAGTTAGATTTGAATGGGCTCTTGGGGGTGCCTGTAAAGGCCAGTTATATAACAGATCAGGTGCCCCAATATAGGCTTTTGTAGTTAATAAGTGATAAGCAAGACCTGGTTGGCAATGGAGGCATGGGGAAACACTAAGGGGCGATAACAAATGAGTTTAATTTTGAATTTGTATTTTGAATTTTATTCTATTGGAAATCAGTTGATCATGTGTTATTGATTAACTGTTACCTGTTCATTAAAACTAATAGCCAGTTTGAAAAACTTAAAACAAACAAATGGCCATTTACCTTGTTTTATAGAGAGTTTGTTAGTATAAACATGAATTTAAATTAATAAGTGATTAATCAGACTTACTGGAACAAAAGACTGAATCTTCTATTTATAAAGATCTTCATAAATATTTCATACAAATGATGGTACTGTTTATTATAAAAGAGAG